AGGGACTTAAAGTCGTCTTGAAGGTGGCGAGGCAGGGGGCGAGACGGAGGGACTGCGGGATGGAGTTCCAGAGTGGCGGCAGGCCTGCCCGCCGATAGTGGGGCAACCAACGGGGGACATGAAGCAGGCCAGAGACCCCTGAGCAGAGGGAGCGATCAGGATGATAGGGGACTAGGAGGTCGGCGAGGAAGGGGGGAGCAAGACCATGGCGGGGGGGGGGGGAGGCTTTGAACGTGAGGACCAGGATCTTAAACTGTATCCTCTGTGTGATGGGAAGCCAGTGGATGTGGGCAACGGTGGGCGTGATAGGGTCACGGGAGAGGATACAGGCTGCAGAGTTCTGGATGAGGGTTTTGGCAGCCTGCGGTGTGAGACAGTGTCGGAGCCGGGCGAAGTTGCGGACGTGGGGGAAGGCAGAGGGGGTCATGGTGCGAATGTGGGGTAGAAAGGATAGTTGAGAGTCAAGCAAGACCCCAAGGTTCCGGACTGGCTTAGCAAGGTTGAGTGTGCAATCGTGGATGATGATACTGTCAGCGTCTTTGTTAACCTTTGCGTATGTTCAAATTTTTTGAACAGGAAACAGAGGCAAATGCCGTGACAATCAATAACTTAACAACAAAATTACATGTGTATAGCGCCGTTCATGTTGGGAGGACGTCCCAAGGCGCTGGACAGCTATAGTTATGGTCCTGAGCTGAGGGTTGGGGTGGGGAGTGGGGAGAGCAGGGGGTAAAGCGGGAAGATCAAAAGCTCCGTCAAAGAGGAGTCTTAAAGTGGGTCTTCAAGGTGGCGAGGGAGGAGGCGGGACGGAGGGACTGCGAGATGGAGTTCCAGAGGGTGAGTGCAGAGTGGCGGCAAGCCTGCCCGCCGATAGTGGGCCAAGCAATGGGGGATGTGAAGCAGGTCAGAGCCCCCTGAGCAGAGGGAGCGATCAGGATGATAGGGGATTAGGAGGTCGGCGAGGAAGGGAGGAGCAAGACTATGGCGGGGGGGGCTTTGAAGGTGAGGACCAGCATCTTAAACTATATCCTCTGTGTGATGGGAAGCCAGTGGATAAGCCAGTGGATGTGGGCAACGATGGGAGTGATAAGGTCACGGAACCTGGTGTGGGAGAGGATACCGGCTGCAGAGTTCTGGATGATCTGTGGAGGGAGGAGTTGGGGAGACTGACCAGCAGTGAGTTTGCATAGTCGAGCCTCGATGTAATGAAGGCGTGTATGAGGGTTTTGGCAGCCTGCGGTGTGAGACAGTGTCGGAGCCGGGCAAAGTTGCGGACGTGGGGGAAGGCAGAGGGGGTCATGGAGCGAATGTGGGGTAGAAAGGATAGTTGAGAGTCAAGCAAGACCCCAAGGTTCCGGACTGGCTTAGCAAGGTTGAGTGTGCAATCGTGGATGATGATACCGTCAGCGTCTCTGTTAACCTTTGAGTATGTTCAAATTTTTTGAAGCCTTCATTTACGGCTGCCTGAACCTTCCTATGACATCAAACCCAACCCTGATTATTTCCCCAACGCAATCAACTGAGTCAGACAGAGAGTAAAAAGACTAGTGGTCACACTCGTCATTACAGTTTGGTTCATTGACATCTATTGTGCAATATCCCCTCCAGCCATCAATATGAAGTTTGAGTTGTACACACCTGCGCTCAGACCGAACAGAAGACGGAGGTTTAGAGTTGGAAAGGGTAATTTCAGGACAGATGGCAGGAAGGTTTCCTTTACCCACAGGGTAATTAACGACTGCACCAGTTTGCCAACAAGGGAAGTTCAGGCCAGGACACTGCACTCATTTTAAATAGTTTGATGCTGCGCTGGGAAGTCAGGACAATAATAATAATAATCCTTGCATGTTGATATAGCGCCTTATCACGTCTTCATCGCGTCTCAAAGTGCTTCACAGACTATATTGTAAAGTTGAGTGGCTCTGTATTTTGTGGGCCAAACGCGGCAGCCAATTGCGCACAGCAGTGCCTAACATACAGTCGTGGATTGAGAGACCACATTATTATTCATATACATTATATTTTTGAAGGGCTTATTATCCCCGGAAAAGCAATCCTCCAATCGACCAACAACCGGGTTCCGACTTACTGCTTGGCAAACAGGGTGTGTGGAGTAAGGAAACTTGCCCAACATTTTGCCCTGCCGGGAATCGAACCAGATCTTCTTGCTTGCGAGACGAGTGCTCTAACCACTGAGCTACAGGACTCCACAATTTGATACAGGGAAGGTGTCAGCAAGCGGGACATGGCTCAAGTGATCAAGGAACAGTGACTGGGGCAAGATGACTACATTGGAGTCCTGTAGCTCAGTGGTTAGAGCACTCGCCTTGCAAGTGAGACACCTGGGTTCAATTCCAGGCAGAGGGCGAAACCTTGGGCAAGTTTCCTTACTCCACACACCTGATAACAATTCCTCAAGCAAAAAAAATTAATAAATTGGTCAATTCAATCCACGACTGTTTGTAGGACACTGCTGAGCGCAATTGGCTGCCGCGTTTCGCCCACAAATATACAGTCAATTCACTTGATAGCATATTCTGTGAAGCGCTTTGAGACGTCTCGAAAATATGAAATTGCTATATCAAATGCCAGGATTATTATTATTAAATGGAAAATGATGGAAGTGCACATCAAGCCATTTGACAACTGAAAGAGAATGTTCGGTTGATATTTTGGGCGTGATTCTTAACAAGATCGCAAGACTGATTTGGATGAAGTTTCATCAGCTGATGTCATCTCACACATCCTTTATTAATTACCTCACTGTCATCCATTACGGCTTCAAGCTGTTTCTTAAATGAGGTGAAATGTCACCTCATTTATCACCTTTTTCGGGAATACTTCCTCCTCCAGTCAGTTCCTTCTGCGAAAACAAATCCCTCCTAATATATGTCCTGAAATTGACCTTCACATCACTAACCTGTGTGCTCATGTCCCGCTGCAATGGTGTATCAAAGTATTGTTAAAAACCCACCATCGGTGGCCGTGCCTTCAGCCGCTATGCCCCGAAACTCTGGAACTCTCTCCCTTAACCCCTCCGCCTTGTCCCCTTCCTCCCTCCCCACCTTCAAATCCTGCCTAAACACTTTCCTTTTTCATCGTGCTTACGGTCACCTCCCCACCAATCTTGCCCCCTGGCTCGTTGTCTGACTCCCACGCTGGGAAGCCCTCCGGGACTCTACCCCTCATGATATATAAATGCAAGTTGTTTTTTGTACGAACAGGATGGTTTTTTTTACACATTACACAATGCCTTACAAACAGTTCAAATGTTTGTGTCCAGCAGCGAGCCGCATATCATATCGAGATCTCAAGATTGGTTCAGTTGCCCATTTGACCTCAACCCTCCAGAATACCTTTGCCACCATCTTCCCATCACAGCGTCAAGCTCTGTGTTTTTAAATGAGTCCCAGTGTGCTGACCTCAACCACTCTTCCTGATAATCTGTTCCACGAGGCAAAGGAAGAGAAAGCAAAGAGAAAGCTTATGTTTGATCCGGTAACCTCTAGTATCTAGTTTAGAGGTTCTGGTGGTATACAGTGTGAGCAATCTCGTTCTTAGCTCCATCATATGATATTACTATTATCAGCTCTGACAGGCAAATGGATAAAATGGATAGTTTTATATGCATCTTTGAATCACATAAATACCAAACCAACTGAGACCAGGAGCAAATGAATACACAGTTTTGAAACCTTTACATTAATTTTACTGCTGCAATAATACAACAGCTCCTCTCTCGAATCTCTACCCCCTCCTCGCTCAGTCCCTTCCCTCCCCTCACCCTGACCATTTCCCCCTTGCTCGGGTCCTGACCTAACTGTACTGCGCCTTGGGACGTCCTCCCGACGTGAAAGGCGCTCAATAAATGGTAACTTGTTGTTGTTGTTGTTGTTCTTGTTGAAGGCAAAACAAATTACAAGATCGATCCCCAAAAAACACTCACAAAAATATGCAGTCGCTCCACTTTACAGGATCGTTCTGTCAAACGTTTTTTAACGTTCTGCAGACTTTAAAGGTGCAACATCAATTATAAGAATTATGATAATAATAATCCTTGTATTTGATATACCACTTTTCACATCAGGACGACGTCCCAAAGCGCTTCAGAGAACACACTGTAAAGTGAATTTGTGGGCGAACGCGGCAGCCAATTGCACACAGCAATGTCCCACAAACAGTCGTAGATTGAAAATGACCAATTTTATTATTGTTTGGGGTTTTTGGAGGGATTATTATTAGGCTCTGTGTGGAGTAAGGAAACTTGCCCAAGGTTTCGCCCTGCCTTTTATATAATTATATTTATTGATAATAATAATCTTCAGAAATAGATATTATTTAAAAATTTGCTTTGAAATAAATAAATCCATCAATAAATAAATGAATCAATAAATAAATAAATAAACGGACAAACAAACAAACATATACATACACACATATATGTATTTATATATAAAAATATCGTAATGACAGGCTTCTGGGTCCAGCCAAATGTAAGGTTGTAGAATACTTGAACCTTTCTTTGACTTGGAATTGGTTAACATATGAGTCGTTAATATGTACAGCTGCTGCGTCAAAGGTGTGTGTGTTTTTCTTTCTGATTGCAAAACGTAACATTCCCTGTTGTAGCCACGGCAAAAAGCAGGAACAAATATGTGCATTTCTAAGGCAGGAGATAAACAAGGGCTTGTGTGTGTGTGTGTGTGTGTGTATGAGAGTGTGATGTGCGTAATCAGCTTGAATGAGTGTCTCACCAGCTATGTCCTCAACGATCACAGTGAGAACAGCTCAGGTGAGGAGCAACTCAGGTAAGGAGGGAGGTTCCGCATTACTTTATTTTATTTTTAAGCATCGGTTCGAGAACTAGGTCAGAAATGTTTTGGGAAACATTCCTCACCCACCCTCCCCTCCCCGCCCTCCCCGTGTTTTTTCCAATGACGCAGAATGAGCAGCCCTGCCAGAGATAGAAATAGGGAGATGGAGTGCTGGAATAGCAGCAGTAGCAGCAAAGCAACCTTCCAGTCAACAGGCAACACAACAGCAAGACAACAAGATGCTCTTTGCAAAGATTACCTCGTGGACTGCATTGATTTTGTGGCTCATTGTTTCAGGTAACACTACAAATAATGATAATCCTTGCCTTTGATATAGCCCTTTCTCATGTCTTCGAGACATCTCAAAGCGCTTCACAGAATATATTGTAATGATAATAATCCATGCATTTGATATAGTGCCTTATCAGGTCTCGAGATGTCTCAAAGCGCTGCACAGGATGTACTAGAAAGTGGATTGACTGTATATTTTGTGCAGCAAACATGGTAGGCAATTGCGCACAACAGCGTCCCACAAACATTTGTGGACTGTGAAGTGGATTGACTATATACTTGGAGGTGCAGCTTTGCTTTAGGTCAGCGGTGATGAGTGAATACATCTTCACAAGGTGTCAGTGAATATATTACAATAATGATAATCCTTACATTTGATGTACAGAAGCGCCTTTTTTCGTATCGAGAGAACGTCTCAAAGCCCTTCACATGATTTTACTGTAGTGACTGGGTATTTTATAAGTGGCCGTTAATGGTTTAGATTTAACGACGATAATAATATCATATAATATTAACCAATATTATATACTAATCTACGAATTTGATATTGCACTTTATCACGTCTTTGAGACGTCTCAAAGCGCTTCACAGGATATACTGTGATGTGAATTGACTGTGTATGTTTGTGAGTAATAAGAATAACTTGCTTTTAGTGCAGGGCTTTATTACATTGCAACAGCATCTGATGTAAAGGTGCAGTGTATTTGCAGGTGAATGTGAGTCTGATTCATACGGTTATGCGACACTTTGCCTGAGTCTAAGTCTGATTTGTCATTGTATAAAACAGGTGAAAGTACCCTCGGAACCACAATCTCTCAAACGGACTCACCCTCATCAGCCGTATCCAGCCCCATGCCGGAAAGCTCCACATCGGCAACTGCTGCACCCACCAGCGCAACACCAGCAGAAACCAGCAGCTCCGCATCTACCTCACTGACACAAACCTCAGCATCCAGCGCCATGGCTGAAACCTCCACCTCCCAGATATCAGACAGTACCAGCTCAGCCCCGACAGAGAGCACCAGCTCAGCCCCGACAGAGAGCACCAGCTCAGCCCCGACAGAGAGCACCAGCTCAGCCCCGACAGAGAGCACCAGCTCAGCCCCGACAGAGAGCACCAGCTCAGCCCCGACAGAGAGCACCAGCTCAGCCCCGACAGAGAGCACCAGCTCAGCACCAGCAGAGAGCACCAGCTCCGCACCAACAGAGAGCACCAGCTCAGCCCCGACAGAGAGCACCAGCTCAGCCCCGACAGAGAGCACCAGCTCAGCCCCGACAGAGAGCACCAGCTCAGCCCCGACAGAGAGCACCAGCTCAGCACCAACAGACAGCACCAGCTCAGCACCAACAGAGAGCACCAACTCAGGACCAACAGAGAGCACCAACTCCGCACAAACGGAAAGCACCAGCTCAGCACCAACAGAGAGCACCAGCTCCGCAACAACATTCAGCACCAGCTCAGCACCAGCAGAGAGCACCAGCTCCGCAACAACATTCAGCACCAGCTCAGCACCAATAGAGAGCACCAGCTCAGCACCAACAGAGAGCCCCAGCTCCGCATCAACAGAGAGCACCAGCTCAGCGCCAACAGAGAGCACCAGCTCAGCACCAGCAGAGAGCACCAGCTCAGCGCCAACAGAGAGCACCAGCTCAGCCCCAGCAGAGAGCACCAGCTCAGCACCAACAGAGAGCACCAGCTCAGCGCCAACAGAGAGCACCAGCTCAGAGACAACAGAGAGCACCAGCTCAGCACCAACAGACAGCACCAGCTCAGCGCCAACAGAGAGCACCAGCTCCGCATCAACAGAGAGCACCAGCTCAGCGCCAACAGAGAGCACCAGCTCAGCACCAGCAGAGAGCACCAGCTCAGCGCCAACAGAGAGCACCAGCTCAGAGCCAACAGAGAGCACCAGCTCAGCACCAACAGACAGCACCAGCTCAGCCCCAACAGAGAGCACCAGCTCAGCACCAACAGAGAGCACCAGCTCAGCGCCAACAGAGAGCACCAGCTCAGCACCAACAGAGAGCACCAGCTCCGCACCAGCAGAGAGCACCAGCTCCGCATCAACAGAGAGCACCAGCTCAGCCCCAACGGAGAGCACCAACTCAGGACCAACAGAGAGCACCAACTCCGCACCAACAGAAAGCACAAGCTCAGCACCAACAGAGATCACCAGCTCAGACCCAACAGAGAGCACCAGCACCGCATCAGCAAAGAGCACCAGCTCCGCATCAACATTCAGCACCAGCTCAGCCTCAACAGAGAGCACCAGCTCAGCACCAATAGAGAACACCAGCTCAGCACCAACAGAGAGCACCAGCTCCGCATCAACAGAGAGCACCAGCTCAGCACCAACAGAGAGCACCAGCTCAGCACCAATAGAGAGCACCAGCTCAGTACCAACAGAGAGCACCAGCTCAGCACCAACAGAGAGCACCAGCTCAGTACCAACAGAGAGCACCAGCTCAGCACCAACAGAGAGCACCAGCTCAGCACCAACAGAAACAACAATTCCAGCAGAAGCCAACAGCTCTGCAATGAGCTCATCATCACAATCCAGTGTATCTGTCTCGTTGCCAGAAAGCTCCACATCTCCAGCGGTCACAAGTGCCGGCACAATGGCCACAGCAGCAGGAAGCCACACAGCTGATGCATCCACCTCCCAGATAGTAGAGAGCACCAGCACAGCACCAGCAGAGAGCACCAGTACAGCACCAACAGAGAGCACCAGCTCAGCACCAACAGACAGCACCAGCTCAGCACCAACAGAGAGCACCAGCTCAGCACCAACAGAGAGCACCAGCTCAGAGCCAACAGAGAGCACCAGCTCAGCACCAACAGACAGCACCAGCTCAGCACCAACAGACAGTACCAGCTCAGCACCAACAGAAAGCACCAGCTCAGCACCAACAGAGAGCACCAGCTCAGCCCCAAGAGACAGCACCAGCTCAGACCCAACAAAGAGCACCAGCACCGCATCAGCAGAGAGCACCAGCTCAGCGCCAACAGAGAGCACCAGCTCAGCACCAACAGAGAGCACCAGCTCAGCCCCAAGAGACAGCACCAGCTCAGACCCAACAAAGAGCACCAGCACCGCATCAGCAGAGAGCACCAGCTCAGCGCCAACAGAGAGCACCAGCTCAGCCCCAGCAGAGAGCACCAGCTCAGCACCAACAGAGACAACCAGCTCAGCCCCAACAGAGAGCACCAGCTCAGCCCCAACAGACAGCACCAGCTCACCACCAACAGACAGCACCAGTTCAGCACCAACAGAGAGCTCCAGCTCAGCCCCAACAGAGAGCACCAGCTCAGCCCCAACAGAGAGCACCAGCTCAGCCCCAACAGAGAGCACCAGCTCAGCCCCAACAGACAGCACCAGCTCACCACCAACAGACAGCACCAGTTCAGCACCAACAGAGAGCTCCAGCTCAGCCCCAACAGAGAGCACCAGCTCAGCCCCAACAGAGAGCACTAGCTCCGCACCAACAGAGATCACCAGCTCAGACCCAACAGAGAGCACCAGCACCGCATCAGCAAAGAGCACCAGCTCCGCATCAACATTCAGCACCAGCTCAGCCTCAACAGAGAGCACCAGCTCAGCACCAACAGAAAGCACCAGCTCAGCCCCGACAGAGAGCACCAGCTCAGCACCAACAGAGAGCACCAGCTCCGCATCAACAGAGAGCACCAGCTCAGCACCAACAGAGAGCACCAGCTCCGCATCAACAGAGAGCACCAGCTCAGCACCAATAGAGAGCACCAGCTCAGTACCAACAGAGAGCACCAGCTCAGCACCAACAGAGAGCACCAGCTCAGTACCAACAGAGAGCACCAGCTCAGCACCAACAGAGAGCACCAGCTCAGCACCAACAGAAACAACAATTCCAGCAGAAGCCATCAGCTCTGCAATGAGCTCATCATCACAATCCAGTGTATCTGTCTCGTTGCCAGAAAGCTCCACATCTCCAGCGGTCACAAGTGCCGGCACAATGGCCACAGCAGCAGGAAGCCACACAGCTGATGCATCCACCTCCCAGATAGTAGAGAGCACCAGCACAGCACCAGCAGAGAGCACCAGTACAGCACCAACAGACAGCACCAGCTCAGCACCAACAGAGAGCACCAGCTCAGCACCAACAGAGAGCACCAGCTCAGAGCCAACAGAGAGCACCAGCTCAGCACCAACAGAGAGCACCAGCTCAGAGCCAACAGAGAGCACCAGCTCAGCACCAACAGACAGCACCAGCTCAGCACCAACAGACAGCACCAGCTCAGCACCAACAGAAAGCACCAGCTCAGCACCAACAGAGAGCACCAGCTCAGCCCCAAGAGACAGCACCAGCTCAGCGCCAACAGAGAGCACCAGCTCAGCACCAACAGAGAGCACCAGCTCAGCATCAACAGAAACAACAATTCCAGCAGAAGCCATCAGCTCTGCAATGAGCTCATCATCACAATCCAGTGTATCTGACTCGTTGCCAGAAAGCTCCACATCTCCAGCGGTCACAAGTGCCGGCACAATGGCCACAGCAGCAGGAAGCCACACAGCTGATGCATCCACCTCCCAGATAGTAGAGAGCACCAGCACAGCACCAGCAGAGAGCACCAGCTCAGCACCAACAGAGAGCACCAGCTCAGCACCAGCAGAGAGCACCAGCTCAGCACCAACAGACAGCACGAGCTCAGCACCAACAGACAGCACCAGCTCAGCGCCAACAGAGAGTACCAGTTCAGCCCCAACAGAGAGCACCAGCTCAGGGTCAACAGAGAGCACCAGCTTAGCACCAACAGAGAGCACCAGCTCAGCACCAACAGAAAGCGGTAAGTTTTAAAATTACTTCTCCGTCGTAGAGAACCATTTTTGTAAGTAATGCTAAACCACCGTTTTCAGACGTTTGTGCCATATCCATTGAAACAAAAGTCTCCATGTAATTCCATTTTATTTCATTTCATTTTTCTCGTGACGTTTGCTATAAAATTCAGCAAAACTTTTGCCGAAGTCGCAAGGGATGTGTGTGCCCCGGGATTCCATTCTGTAAGGGTATTTTGCCTTAAAATCGAAGGTCAGGATTGTGGAAAACTCTTTAATTCACTCTTAATTCTTAAGCGCTCAGGGACCAGGTGGAATTTCGGGTCAGTTAGTTGAAGTGTGGAGAAGTTTAAAGTAGTTACATCAGGTGCTCAGCGGCTGTGGTTTGTGTCGATGAGGTAGATCCAGAGATCGTGCTCTCTGTTGGAAACTGCGAGTACTAAAATGACAACTACCTGTTCTCCAGGATCCACGACTCAGTCAGGAACCTCCAACACTGCAGCCAGAACAACAGCAACACTGAGTGCCAGACCATCAGCGGCATCACAGGGCCCCACAAGTCAGACAGCCGCACACCCATCAACAGGAACAACCAACAATGCCCCATCCACCACCGGTAAGTCAACGAACCAATACTATCACATGACGCTATTCGAAAAGGCAAGAGAGTTACTCCCGACCGTCCTAACTGACAACCTCACCCACCTACAATTGTTCCTTCCTTTCATGACTTGTTTGTGGGACAATTGCAATGGGGACTGACCTATGAGGATAGGCTGAATAAACTGGGGCTGTATTCTCTGGTGTACAGAAGAATTAGGGGGGATCTTATTGAAACTTATAAGATTCTTAAAGGGCTGATAAAGTAGACACAGAGGGACTGTTTCCCCGGAAGGAGAATCTATAATCAGGGGTCACAGTCTTAAAATTAAGGGTCAGCCTCTTAGAACAAAGCTGAGGAAACATTTCTTCACTCAGAGGGTAGTGAACTTATGGAATTCACTACCCCAGAAGGCTGTAGATGCTCAGTCCTTGAACATTTTCAAGGCTGAGACTGATAGATTCTTGAAAAATAGAGGGATTAGGAGATATGGGGATAGGGCAGGAAATCAGAGTTAGGTGAGAAGATCAGCCATGATCTTATTGAATGGCGGAGCACAGGCACGAAGGGCCAAATGGCCTTCTCCTGCAGCTAATTCTTATGTTCTTATGTTTGAATTGCGTTTGAAACAGATCCAAATATAGTTCTAATAAAGAATTGATAATTCGGTCATTTTATTCAGCATTTGAATTATTTTTGATTGTATATTTCGAGAAAATCCCGATTTGTCCTGATACGTAACGCATCTTGAAATTCCTTAACCAAAGAACGTATATCCAAGCACAATGGGAGAAGCAACAAAATGCTTTACCCGTTCTTAAAGTAGTGATCTGTGCCGCAGCTCTGTTGGTTATGAATTGTGAAATGATGTCTTATTATTGACAATTGCATTCTGTTTGGTTTGCGTAGGAACGGAAGCACCAGTTACTGGCAACAAGAGCCTACCATTTTGGGCCATAATCATTATAGTCCTGGCTATCCTGCTCGCCATACTCATTATATGCACTATTTGTCTATTGGTAAGTAAATTCAACTCTTCTAACCCTGGGTGCCCCCCGCCTCACTATTGCTGTCCCCCACTTTCCCTCCATCATCCACCCTGCGCTCTCCCCTCTCTACCCCTCTTTCAACCTGCATAAAAACCTACCTCTTTGACCATGGCTACAGTCACTTTTACTCCCATCTCGCTTGCTTGGCAATCATCAGTTGCTTTCAATCTCAGCTTGATAGGATGCTTAGATATTGCAATGTAAATTGTATTGTCTTGGATGGTATGGTTGTAGGTAGTATTTTTGATGTGCCAGTCCACCCCCCCCCCCCCCCCCCCCCCCCCCACACACACACATATATATATTATATGCAGATATAATGTATTGTTTATTTCATATTTATTCATTTCAAATGGATGTATATATTTTATAAATTATTTTATTCTTCATTTCAGTTTGTATTCTGCGTGAGAAGGAAAAGAGTTAGGAGCTACAGTATAATACAAAAAAGCTGGAGACAATTATCGCCTCCATCTGGATGAGGAGAAGTATTACTGAAGAAAGCACCTCGATCGAAGTTCAAAGCAGTTTATCAAACTATTTATTTTATCAAAGTTATTGAAGAGTATATATATATATATATATTTTATTAGCACTACATGAAGATTAATATATTTGGAAGGGAATTTTTGTAAAAAACAAAATTGGCTGGACCAGCGACCGCAGAATTGTTCAGGGATTTCTTTTGAGGACTAACAAATAGCAAAATACTCCAGATGCTGGAAATCTGAAATAAACACAGAAGTCGCTGGGAATACTCAGCAGGTCAGGCAGCATCTATGGAGAGAGGTTAACGTTTCAGGTCGATGACCTTTCGTCTGATGAGTGTTCCCAGCGACCTCTGTTTTGATCTCTTAAGGACTAAACCTGTTTGGTGTCAATTTGAGATTTCAATTAGAAATTGCAGAATGGTTATGTTGACATTCTTTTGCAATTTAATCCATTAAATATATAACAACAATAACAATTCTTGCATTTCATGCAGCGACTTTCACGTCGAGAGGATGTCTGTCTCAAAGCACTTCACAGAATTTACTGTAGAGTGACTGTATTTTGCAACGGAGTCAACATATGTGGCCAAACGTGTTTGTTTATAAAACATTACTATAAATAAGTAACCATTTACATATCTATTTAATAAATTATCAACTTCAACAGTAAAGTACATTATTATAGTGATTATCACATTCATCATATTCTTATTATATATCTAAATTATTTAAATAGGTAAATTTTAAAGCCCAGGATTTGGCATTGCCGACCTCTGTCTCTTAAAAAAACAAATAGTTCTATCATGTTTATTAAACTATTCAATTACTCAACAAAAATATGAGTTTGATGATGTTAAATTGTTATGTTGTTGATCTTATTTATGTAATAGTTGATACACTTGTAATAGTTTAACTGAGAGCGCTTGTATCAAACTGAATAAACTGTTTGTCAACCAATTGCCCTGTTTGGTCCCATCGACTCTTTTAAAGAATGAGGGGCTGTAGAAACTTATTCCCGGGAATTACTGTGAAGTGCAGTGACTGTATTATGTAGGCAAATGCGACATCCGCTTTACGCACAACAATGTGTAACAAACAGCCACAAAATGAATGACCGACTGTATCGGGAGGATTGTTGGCCAGGAGACATATAAACATGACCTACTCACACAATATGCAAAATTCAGATAAATACAGGAGATGTTGTCAAAGAGGAACCTCAATCTGACATGTTTTGGGGGGGGCTTTGAAGGTGACGACCAGCATCTTAAACTGTAACCTCTGTGTGATGGGAAGCCAGTGGATAAGCCACTGGATGTGGGCAACGATGGGAGTGATAAGGTCACGGAACCTGGTGTGGGAGAGGATACCGGCTGCAGAGTTCTGGATGATCTGTGGAGGGAGGAGTTGGGGAGACTGACCGGCAGTGAGTTTGCATAGTCGAGCCTCGATGTAATGAAGGCGTGTATGAGGGTTTTGGCAGCCTGCGGTGTGAGACAGTGTCGGAGCCGGGCAAAGTTGCGGACGTGGGGGAAGGCAGAGGGGGTCATGGTGCGAATGTGGGGTAGAAAGGATAGTTGAGAGTCAAGCAAGACCCCAAGGTTCCGGACTGGCTTAGCAAGGTTGAGTGTGCAATCATGGATGATGATACCGTCAGCGTCTCTGTTAACCTTTGAGTATGTTCAAATTTTTTGAAGCCTTCATTTACGGCTGCCTGAACCTTCCTATGACATCAAACCCAACCCTGATTATTTCCCCAACGCAATCAACTGAGTCAGACAGAGAGTAAAAAGACTAGTGGTCACACTCGTCATTACAGTTTGGTTCATTGACATCTATTGTGCAATATCCCCTCCAGCCATCAATATGAAGTTTGAGTTGTACACACCTGCGCTCAGACCGAACAGAAGACGGAGGTTTAGAGTTGGAAAGGGTAATTTCAGGACAGATGGCAGGAAGGTTTCCTTTACCCACAGGGTAATTAACGACTGCACCAGTTTGCCAACAAGGGAAGTTCAGGCCAGGACACTGCACTCATTTTAAATAGTTTGATGCTGCGGTGGGACGTCAGGACAATAATAATAATAATCCTTGCATGTTGATATAGCGCCTTATCACGTCTTCATCGCGTCTCAAAGTGCTTCACAGACTATATTGTAAAGTTGAGTGGCTCTGTATTTTGTGGGCCAAACGCGGCAGCCAATTACGCACAGCAGTGCCTAACATACAGTCGTGGATTGAGAGACCACATTATTATTCATATTTATTATATTTTTGAAGGGCTTATTATCCCCGGAAAAGCAATCCTCCAATCGACCAACAACCGGGTTCCGACTTACTGCTTGGCAAACAGGGTGTGTGGAGTAAGGAAACTTGCCCAACATTTTGCCCTGCCGGGAATCGAACCAGATCTTCTTGCTTGCGAGACGAGTGCTCTAACCACTGAGCTACCGGACTCCACAATTTGATACGGGGAAGGTGTCAGCAAGCGGGACATGGCTCAAGTGATCAAGGAACAGTGACTGGGGCAAGATGACTACATTGGAGTCCTGTAGCTCAGTGGTTAGAGCACTCGCCTTGCAAGTGAGACACCTGGGTTCAATTCCAGGCAGAGGGCGAAACCTTGGGCAAGTTTCCTTACTCCACACACCTGATAACAATTCCTCAAGCAAAAAAAAATTAATAAATTGGTCAATTCAATCCACGACTGTTTGTGGGACACTGCTGAGCGCAATTGGCTGCCGCGTTTCGCCCACAAATATACAGTCAATTCACTTGATAGCATATTCTGTGAAGCGCTTTGAGACGTCTCGAAAATATGAAATTGCTATATCAAATGCCAGGATTATTATTATTAAATGGAAAATGATGGAAGTGCACATCAAGCCATTTGACAACTGAAAGAGAATGTTCGGTTGATATTTTGGGCGTGATTCTTAACAAGATCGCAAGACTGATTTGGATGAAGTTTCATCAGCTGATGTCATCTCACACATCCTTTATTAATTACCTCACTGTCATCCATTATGACTTCAAGCTGTTTCTTAAATGAGGTGAAATGTCACCTCATTTATCACCTTTTTCGGGAATACTTCCTCCTCCAGTCAGTTCCTTCTGCGAAAACAAATCCCTCCTAATATATGTCCTGAAATTGACCTTCACATCACTAACCTGTGTGCTCATGTCCCGCTGCAATGGTGTATCAAAGTATTGTTAAAAACCCACCATCGGTGGCCGTGCCTTCAGCCGCTATGCCCCGAAACTCTGGAACTCTCTCCCTTAACCCCTCCGCCTTGTCCCCTTCCTCCCTCCCCACCTTCAAATCCTGCCTAAACACTTTCCTTTTTCATCGTGCTTACGGTCACCTCCCCACCAATCTTGCCCCCGGCCCGTTGTCTGACTCCCACGCTGGGAAGCCCTCCGGGACTCTACCCCTCATGATATATAAATGCAAGTTGTTTTTTGTACGAACAGGATGGTTTTTTTTTACACATTACACAATGCCTTACAAACAGTTCAAATGTTTGTGTCCAGCAGCGAGCCGCATATCATATCGAGATCTCAAGATTGGTTCAGTTGCCCATTTGACCTCAACCCTCCAGAATACCTTTGCCACCATCTTCCCATCACAGCGTCAAGCTCTGTGTTTTTAAATGAGTCCCAGTGTGCTGACCTCAACCACTCTTCCTGATAATCTGTTCCACGAGGCAAAGGAAGAGAAAGCAAAGAGAAAGCTTATGTTTGATCCGGTAACCTCTAGTATCTAGTTTAGAGGTTCTGGTGGTATACAGTGTGAGCAATCTCGTTCTTAGCTCCATCATATGATATTACTATTATCAGCTCTGACAGGCAAATGGATAAAATGGATAATTTTATATGCATCTGTGAATCACATAAATACCAAACCAACTGAGACCAGGAGCAAATGGATACAGTTTTGAAACCTTTACAATAAATTTACTGCTGCAATAATACTCCAAAGGTGTGGGGGTGGGGTAGGAGATAAGGGGGAAAGACAAGTATTATTATTATTAATTTAAATAGATCATGCTGAGTTTTGAATGAAAATTATCCGATTTTTGACCAAAGTATTGGTTAAGTCGCAGCACAGCGTAAATGTTGTACTTGAAGGCAAAACAAATTACAAGAACGATCCCCAAAAAACACTCACAAAAATATGCAGTCGCTCCACTTTACAGGATCGTCCTGTCAAAAGTTTTTTAATGTTCTGCAGACTTTAAAGGTGCAACATCAATTATAAGAATTATAATACAGTCGTAGATTGAAAATGACCAATTTTATTATTGTTTTGGGTTTTTCGAGGGATTATTATTAGGCTCTGTGTGGAGTAAGGAAACTTGCCCAAGGTTTCGCCCTGCCTTTTATATAATTATATTTATTGATAATAATAATAATCTTCAGAAATAGATATTTTTTAAAAATTTGCTTTGAAATAAATAAATCCATCAATAAATAAATGAATCAATAAATCAATCAATAAATAAATAAATAAATAAACGGACAAACAAACATATACATACACACATATATGTATTTATATATAAAAATATCGTAATGACAGGCTTCTGGGTCCAGCCAAATGTAAGGTTGTAGAATACTTGAACCTTTCTTTGACTTGGAATTGGTTAACATATGAGTCGTTAATATGTACAGCTGCTGCGTCAAAGGTGTGTGTGTTTTTCTTTCTGATTGCAAAACGTAACATTCTCTGTTGTAGCCACGGCAAAAAGCAGGAACAAATATGTGCATTTCTAAGGCAGGAGATAAACAAGGGCTTATGTGTGTGTGTGTGTGTGTGTGTGTGTATGTGTGTATGAGAGTGTGATGTGCGTAATCAGCTTGAATGAGTGTCTCACCAGCTATGTCCTCAACGATCACAGTGAGAACAGCTCAGGTGAGGAGCAACTCAGGTAAGGAGGGAGGTTCCGCATTACTTTATTTTATTTTTAAGCATCGGTTCGAGAACTAGGTCAGAAATGTTTTGGGAAACATTCCTCACCCACCCGCCCCTCCCCGCCCTCCCCGTGTTTTTTCCAATGACGCAGAATGAGCAGCCCTGCCAGAGATAGAAATAGGGAGATGGAGTGCTGGAATAGCAGCAGTAGCAGCAAAGCAACCTTCCAGTCAACAGGCAACACAACAGCAAGACAACAAGATGCTCTTTGCAAAGATTACCTCGTGGACTGCATTGATTTTGTGGCTCATTGTTTCAGGTAACACTACAAATAATGATAATCCTTGCCTTTGATATAGCCCTTTCTCATGTCTTCGAGACATCTCAAAGCGCTTCACAGAATATATTGTAATGATAATAATCCATGCATTTGATATAGTGCCTTATCAGGTCTCGAGATGTCTCAAAGCGCTGCACAGGATGTACTAGAAAGTGGATTGACTGTATATTTTGTGCAGCAAACATGGTAGGCAATTGCGCACAACAGCGTCCCACAAACAGTTGTGGACTGTGAAGTGGATTGACTATATACTTGGAGGTGCAGCTTTGCTTTAGGTCAGCGGTGATGAGTGAATACATCTTCACAAGGTGTCAGTGAATATATTACAATAATGATAATCCTTACATTTGATGTACAGAAGCGCCTTTTTTCGTATCGAGAGAACGTCTCAAAGCCCTTCACATGATTTTACTGTAGTGACTGGGTATTTTATAAGTGGCTGTTAATGGTTCAGATTTAACGACGATAATATTATATAATATTAACCAATATTATATATTAATCTACGAATTTGATATTGCACTTTATCACGTCTTTGAGACGTCTCAAAGCGCTTCACAGGATATACTGTGATGTGAATTGACTGTGTATGTTTGTGAGTAATAAGAATAACTTGCTTTTAGTGCAGGGCTTTATTACATTGCAACAGCATCTGATGTAAAGGTGCAGTGTATTTGTAGGTGAATGTGAGTCTGATTCATACGGTTATGCGACACTTTGCCTGAGTCTAAGTCTGATTTGTCATTGTATAAAACAGGTGAAAGTACCCTCGGAACCACAATCTCTCAAACGGACTCACCCTCATCAGCCGTATCCAGCCCCATGCCGGAAAGCTCCACATCGGCAACTGCTGCACCCACCAGCGCAACACCAGCAGAAACCAGCAGCTCCGCATCTACCTCACTGACACAAACCTCAGCATCCAGCCCCATGGCTGAAACCTCCACCTCCCAGATATCAGACAGTACCAGCTCAGCCCCGACAGAGAGCACCAGCTCAGCCCCGACAGAGAGCACCAGCTCAGCCCCGACAGAGAGCACCAGCTCAGCCCCGACAGAGAGCACCAGCTCAGCCCCGACAGAGAGCACCAGCTCAGGCCCGACAGAGAGCACCAGCTCAGGCCCGACAGAGAGCACCAGCTCAGCCCCGACAGAGAGCACCAGCTCAGCCCCGACAGAGAGCACCAGCTCAGCCCCGACAGAGAGCACCAGCTCAGCCCCGACAGAGAGCACCAGCTCAGCCCCGACAGAGAGCACCAGCTCAGCCCCGACAGAGAGCACCAGCTCAGCCCCGACAGAGAGCACCAGCTCAGCACCGACAGAGAGCACCAGCTCAGCCCCGACAGAAAGCACCAGCTCAGCCCCGACAGAGAGCACCAGCTCAGCCCCGACAGAGAGCACCAGCTCAGCACCAGCAGAGAGCACCAGCTCAGCACCAACAGAGAGCACCAGCTCAGCCCCGACAGAGAGCACCAGCTCAGCACCAACAGAGAGCACCAGCTCAGCACCAACAGAAAGCACCAGCTCAGCCCCGACAGAGAGCACCAGCTCAGAACCAACAGAGAGCACCAGCACCGCATCAGCAGAGAGCACCAGCTCAGCACCAACAGAGAGCACCAGCTCATCCCCAAAAGAGAGCACCAGCTCAGCCCCAACAGACAGCACCAGCTCAGCCCCAAAAGAGAGCACCAGCTCAGCCCCAACAGACAGCACCAACTCCGCACTAACAGACCGCACCAGCTCCGCACCAGCAGAAAGCGGTAAGTTTTAAAATTACTTCTCCGAACCATTTTTGTAAGTAATGCTAAACCACCATTTTCAGACGTTTGTGCCATATCCATTGAAACAAAAGCCTCCATGTAATTCCATTTTATTTCATTTCATTTTTCTCATGAAGTTTGCTATAAAATTCAGCAAAACTTTTGCCGAAGTCGCAAGGGATGTGTGTGCCCCGGGATTCCATTCTGTAAGGGTATTTTGCCTTAAAATCGAAGGTCAGGATTGTGGAAAACTCTTTAATTCACTCTTAATTCTTAATCGCTCTGGGACCAGGTGGAATTTCGGGTCAGTTAGTTGAAGTGTAGAGAAGTTTAAAGTAGTTACATCAGGTGCTCAGCGGCTGTGGTTTGTGTCGATGAGGTAGATCCAGAGATCGTGCTCTCTGTTGGAAACTGCGAGTACTAAAATGACAACTACCTGTTCTCCAGGATCCACGACTCAGTCAGGAACCTCCAACACTGCAGCCAGAACAACAGCAACACTGAGTGCCAGACCATCAGCGGCATCACAGGGCCCCACAAGTCAGACAGCCGCACACCCATCAACAGGAACAACCAACAATGCCCCATCCACCACCGGTAAGTCAACGAACCAATACTATCACATGACGATATTCGAAAAGGCAAGAGAGTTACTCCCGACCGTCCTAACTGACAACCTCACCCACCTACAATTGTTCCTTCCTTTCATGACTTGTTTGTGGGACAATTGCAATGGTTTGAATTGCATTTGAAACGGATCCAAATATAGTTCTAATAAAGAATTGATAATTCGGTCATTTTATTCAGCATTTGAATTATTTTTGATTGTGTATTTCGAGAAAATCCCGATTTGTCCTGATACGTAGCGCATCTTGAAATTCCTTAACCAAAGAACGTATATCCAAGCACAATGGGAGAAGCAACAAAATGCTTTACCCCTTCTTAAAGTAGTGATCTCTGCCGCAGCTCTGTTGGTTATGAATTGTGAAATGATGTCTTATTATTGACAATTGCATTCTGTTTGGTTTGTGTAGGAACGGAAGCACCAGTTACTGGCAACAAGAGCCTACCATTTTGGGCCATAATCATTATAGTCCTGGCTATCCTGCTCGCCATATTCATTATATGCACTATTTGTCTATTGGTAAGTAAATTCAACTCTTCTAACCCTGGGTGCCCCCCGCCTCACTATTGCTGTCCCCCACTTTCCCTCCATCATCCACCCTGCGCTCTCCCCTCTCTACCCCTCTTTCAACCTACATAAAAACCTCCCTCTTTGACCATGGCTACAGTCACTTTTCCCCCCATCTCGCTTGCTTGGCAATCATCAGTTGCTTTCAATCTCAGCTTGATAGGATGCTTAGATATTGCAAGGTAAATTGCATTGTCTTGGATGGTATGGTTGTAGGTAATATTTTTGATGTGCCAGTTCCCCCCCGCCACACACACACATATATATATTATATATATATTATATGCAGATATAATGTATTGTTTATTTCATATATATTCATTTCAAATAGATGTATATATTTTATAAATATATTTTATTCTTCATTTCAGATTGCGTTCTGCATGAGAAGGAAAAGAGTTAGGAGCCACAGTATAGTACAAAAAAGCTGGGGACAATATCGCCTCCATCTGGATGAGTAAAAGTATTACTGAAGAAAGCACCTCGATCGAAGTTCAAAGCAGTTTATCAAACTATTTATTTTATCAAAGTTATTGAAGAGTATATGTATATATATATTTTATTAGCACTACAAGAAGATTAATATATTTGGAAGGGAATTTTTGTAAAAAACAAAATTGGCTGGACCAGCGACCGCAGAATTGTTCAGGGATTTCTTTTGAGGACTAACAAATAGCAAAATACTCCAGATGCTGGAAATCTGAAATAAACACAGAAGTCGCTGGGAATACTCAGCAGGTCAGGCAGCATCTATGGAGAGAGGTTAACGTTTCAGGTCGATGACCTTTCGTCTGATGAGTGTTCCCAGCGACCTCTGTTTTGATCTCTTAAGGACTAAACCTGTTTGGTGTCAATTTGAAATTTCAATTAGAAATTGCAGAACGGTTATGTTGACATTATTTTGCAATTCAATCCATTAAATATATAACAACAATAACAATTCTTGAATTTCATGCAGCGACTTTCACATCGAGAGGATGTCTGTCTCAAAGCACTTCACAGAATTTACTGTAGAGTGACTGTATTTTGCAACGGAGTCAACATATGTGGCCAAAGGTGTTTATTTATAAAACATTACTATAAATAAGTAACTATTTACATATCGATTTAATAAATTATCAACTTCAACAGTAAAGTACTTATTATAGTGATTATCACATTCATCATATTCTTATTATATATCTAAATTATTTAAATAGGTAAATTTTAAAGCCCAGGATTTGGCATTGCCGACCTCTGTCTCTTAAAAAAACAAATAGTTCTATCATGTTTATTAAACTATTCAATTACTCAACAAAAATATGAGTTTGATGATGTTAAATTGTTATGTTATTGATCTTATTTATGTAATAGTTGATACACTTGTAATAGTTTAACTGAGAGCGCTTGTATCAAACTGAATAAACTGTTTGTCAACCAATTGCCCTGTTTGGTCCCATCGACTCTTTTAAAGAATGAGGGGCTGTAGAAACTTATTCCCTGGAATTACTGTGAAGTGCAGTGACTGTATTATGTAGGCAAATGCGACATCCGCTTTACGCACAACAATGTGTAACAAACAGCCACAAAATGAATGACCGACTGTATCGGGAGGATTGTTGGCCAGGAGACATATAAACATGACCTACTCACACAATATGCAAAATTCAGATAAATACAGGAGATGTTGTCAAAGAGGAACCTCAATCTGACATGTTTGGGGGGGGCTTTGAAGGTGAGGACCAGCATCTTAAACTATATCCTCTGTGTGATGGGAAGCCAGTGGATAAGCCACTGGATGTGGGCAACGATGGGAGTGATAAGGTCACGGAACCTGGTGTGGGAGAGGATACCGGCTGCAGAGTTCTGGATGATCTGTGGAGGGAGGAGTTGGGGAGACTGACCAGCAGTGAGTTTGCATAGTCGAGCCTCGATGTAATGAAGGCGTGTATGAGGGTTTTGGCAGCCTGCGGTGTGAGACAGTGTCGGAGCCGGGCAAAGTTGCGGACGTGGGGGAAGGCAGAGGGGGTCATGGTGCGAATGTGGGGTAGAAAGGATAGTTGAGAGTCAAGCAAGACCCCAAGGTTCCGGACTGGCTTAGCAAGGTTGAGTGTGCAATCATGGATGATGATACCGTCAGCGTCTCTGTTAACCTTTGAGTATGTTCAAATTTTTTGAAGCCTTCATTTACGGCTGCCTGAACCTTCCTATGACATCAAACCCAACCCTGATTATTTCCCCAACGCAATCAACTGAGTCAGACAGAGAGTAAAAAGACTAGTGGTCACACTCGTCATTACAGTTTGGTTCATTGACATCTATTGTGCAATATCCCCTCCAGCCATCAATATGAAGTTTGAGTTGTACACACCTGCGCTCAGACCGAACAGAAGACGGAGGTTTAGAGTTGGAAAGGGTAATTTCAGGACAGATGGCAGGAAGGTTTCCTTTACCCACAGGGTAATTAACGACTGCACCAGTTTGCCAACAAGGGAAGTTCAGGCCAGGACACTGCACTCATTTTAAATAGTTTGATGCTGCGCTGGGAAGTCAGGACAATAATAATAATAATCCTTGCATGTTGATATAGCGCCTTATCACGTCTTCATCGCGTCTCAAAGTGCTTCACAGACTATATTGTAAAGTTGAGTGGCTCTGTATTTTGTGGGCCAAACGCGGCAGCCAATTGCGCACAGCAGTGCCTAACATACAGTCGTGGATTGAGAGACCACATTATTATTCATATTTATTATATTTTTGAAGGGCTTATTATCCCCGGAAAAGCAATCCTCCAATCGACCAACAACCGGGTTCCGACTTACTGCTTGGCAAACACGGGTGTGTGGAGTAAGGAAACTTGCCCAACATTTTGCCCTGCCGGGAATCGAACCAGATCTTCTTGCTTGCGAGACGAGTGCTCTAACCACTGAGCTACAGGACTCCACAATTTGATACGGGGAAGGTGTCAGCAAGCGGGACATGGCTCAAGTGATCAAGGAACAGTGACTGGGGCAAGATGACTACATTGGAGTCCTGTAGCTCAGTGGTTAGAGCACTCGCCTTGCAAGTGAGACACCTGGGTTCAATTCCAGGCAGAGGGCGAAACCTTGGGCAAGTTTCCTTACTCCACACACCTGATAACAATTCCTCAAGCCAAAAAAATTAATAAATTGGTCAATTCAATCCACGACTGTTTGTGGACACTGCTGAGCGCAATTGGCTGCCGCGTTTCGCCCACAAATATACAGTCAATTCACTTGATAGCATATTCTGTGAAGCGCTTTGAGACGTCTCGAAAATATGAAATTGCTATATCAAATGCCAGGATTATTATTATTAAATGGAAAATGATGGAAGTGCACATCAAGCCATTTGACAACTGAAAGAGAATGTTCGGTTGATATTTTGGGCGTGATTCTTAACAAGATCGCAAGACTGATTTGGATGAAGTTTCATCAGCTGATGTCATCTCACACATCCTTTATTAATTACCTCACTGTCATCCATTACGGCTTCAAGCTGTTTCTTAAATGAGGTGAAATGTCACCTCATTTATCACCTTTTTCGGGAATACTTCCTCCTCCAGTCAGTTCCTTCTGCGAAAACAAATCCCTCCTAATATATGTCCTGAAATTGACCTTCACATCACTAACCTGTGTGCTCATGTCCCGCTGCAATGGTGTATCAAAGTATTGTTAAAAACCCACCATCGGTGGCCGTGCCTTCAGCCGCTATGCCCCGAAACTCTGGAACTCTCTCCCTTAACCCCTCCGCCTTGTCCCCTTCCTCCCTCCCTCTCCACCTTCAAATCCTGCCTAAACACTTTCCTTTTTCATCGTGCTTACGGTCACCTCCCCACCAATCTTGCCCCCTGGCTCGTTGTCTGACTCCCACGCTGGGAAGCCCTCCGGGACTCTACCCTCATGATATATAAATGCAAGTTGTTTTTTGTACGAACAGGATGTTTTTTTTTACACATTACACAATGCCTTACAAACAGTTCAAATGTTTGTGTCCAGCAGCGAGCCGCATATCATATCGAGATCTCAAGATTGGTTCAGTTGCCCATTTGACCTCAACCCTCCAGAATACCTTTGCCACCATCTTCCCATCACAGCGTCAAGCTCTGTGTTTTTAAATGAGTCCCAGTGTGCTGACCTCAACCACTCTTCCTGATAATCTGTTCCACGAGGCAAAGGAAGAGAAAGCAAAGAGAAAGCTTATGTTTGATCCGGTAACCTCTAGTATCTAGTTTAGAGGTTCTGGTGGTATACAGTGTGAGCAATCTCGTTCTTAGCTCCATCATATGATATTACTATTATCAGCTCTGACAGGCAAATGGATAAAATGGATAGTTTTATATGCATCTTTGAATCACATAAATACCAAACCAACTGAGACCAGGAGCAAATGAATACACAGTTTTGAAACCTTTACATTAATTTTACTGCTGCAATAATACAACAGCTCCTCTCTCGAATCTCTACCCCCTCCTCGCTCAGTCCCTTCCCTCCCCTCACCCTGACCATTTCCCCCTTGCTCGGGTCCTGACCTAACTGTACTGCGCCTTGGGACGTCCTCCCGACGTGAAAGGCGCTCAATAAATGGTAACTTGTTGTTGTTGTTGTTGTTCTTGTTGAAGGCAAAACAAATTACAAGATCGATCCCCAAAAAACACTCACAAAAATATGCAGTCGCTCCACTTTACAGGATCGTTCTGTCAAACGTTTTTTAACGTTCTGCAGACTTTAAAGGTGCAACATCAATTATAAGAATTATGATAATAATAATCCTTGTATTTGATATACCACTTTTCACATCAGGACGACGTCCCAAAGCGCTTCAGAGAACACACTGTAAAGTGAATTTGTGGGCGAACGCGGCAGCCAATTGCACACAGCAATGTCCCACAAACAGTCGTAGATTGAAAATGACCAATTTTATTATTGTTTGGGGTTTTTGGAGGGATTATTATTAGGCTCTGTGTGGAGTAAGGAAACTTGCCCAAGGTTTCGCCCTGCCTTTTATATAATTATATTTATTGATAATAATAATCTTCAGAAATAGATATTATTTAAAAATTTGCTTTGAAATAAATAAATCCATCAATAAATAAATGAATCAATAAATAAATAAATAAACGGACAAACAAACAAACATATACATACACACATATATGTATTTATATATAAAAATATCGTAATGACAGGCTTCTGGGTCCAGCCAAATGTAAGGTTGTAGAATACTTGAACCTTTCTTTGACTTGGAATTGGTTAACATATGAGTCGTTAATATGTACAGCTGCTGCGTCAAAGGTGTGTGTGTTTTTCGTTCTGATTGCAAAACGTAACATTCCCTGTTGTAGCCACGGCAAAAAGCAGGAACAAATATGTGCATTTCTAAGGCAGGAGATAAACAAGGGCTTGTGTGTGTGTGTGTATGAGAGTGTGATGTGCGTAATCAGCTTGAATGAGTGTCTCACCAGCTATGTCCTCAACGATCACAGTGAGAACAGCTCAGGTGAGGAGCAACTCAGGTAAGGAGGGAGGTTCCGCATTACTTTATTTTATTTTTAAGCATCGGTTCGAGAACTAGGTCAGAAATGTTTTGGGAAACATTCCTCACCCACCCGCCCCTCCCCGCCCTCCCCGTGTTTTTTCCAATGACGCAGAATGAGCAGCCCTGCCAGAGATAGAAATAGGGAGATGGAGTGCTGGAATAGCAGCAGTAGCAGCAAAGCAACCTTCCAGTCAACAGGCAACACAACAGCAAGACAACAAGATGCTCTTTGCAAAGATTACCTCGTGGACTGCATTGATTTTGTGGCTCATTGTTTCAGGTAACACTACAAATAATGATAATCCTTGCCTTTGATATAGCCCTTTCTCATGTCTTCGAGACATCTCAAAGCGCTTCACAGAATATATTGTAATGATAATAATCCATGCATTTGATATAGTGCCTTATCAGGTCTCGAGATGTCTCAAAGCGCTGCACAGGATATACTGGAAAGTGGATTGACTGTATATTTTGTGGACCAAACATGGTAGGCCAATTGCGCACAACAGCGTCCCACAAACAGTTGTGGACTGTGAAGTGGATTGACTATATACTTGGAGGTGCAGCTTTGCTTTAGGTCAGCGGTGATGAGTGAATACATCTTCACAAGGTGTCAGTGAATATATTACAATAATGATAATCCTTACATTTGATGTACAGAAGCGCCTTTTTTCGTATCGAGAGAACGTCTCAAAGCCCTTCACATGATTTTACTGTAGTGACTGGGTATTTTATAAGTGGCCGTTAATGGTTTAGATTTAACGACGATAATAATATCATATAATATTAACCAATATTATATACTAATCTACGAATTTGATATGCACTTTATCACGTCTTTGAGACGTCTCAAAGCGCTTCACAGGATATACTGTGATGTGAATTGACTGTGTATGTTTGTGAGTAATAAGAATAACTTGCTTTTAGTGCAGGGCTTTATTACATTGCAACAGCATCTGATGTAAAGGTGCAGTGTATTTGTAGGTGAATGTGAGTCTGATTCATACGGTTATGCGACACTTTGCCTGAGTCTAAGTCTGATTTGTCATTGTATAAAACAGGTGAAAGTACCCTCGGAACCACAATCTCTCAAACGGACTCACCCTCATCAGCCGTATCCAGCCCCATGCCGGAAAGCTCCACATCGGCAACTGCTGCACCCACCAGCGCAACACCAGCAGAAACCAGCAGCTCCGCATCTACCTCACTGACACAAACCTCAGCATCCAGCGCCATGGCTGAAACCTCCACCTCCCAGATATCAGACAGCACCAGCTCAGCCCCGACAGAGAGCACCAGCTCAGCCCCGACAGAGAGCACCAGCTCAGCCCCGACAGAGAGCACCAGCTCAGCCCCGACAGAGAGTAGCAGCTCAGCCCCGACAGAGAGCACCAGCTCAGCCCCGACAGAGAGCACCAGCTCAGCCCCGACAGAGAGCACCAGCTCAGCCCCGACAGAGAGCACCAGCTCAGCCCCGACAGAGAGCACCAGCTCAGCCCCGACAGAGAGCACCAGCTCAGCACCAGCAGAGAGCACCAGCTCCGCACCAACAGAGAGTACCAGCTCAGCCCCGACAGAGAGCACCAGCTCAGCCCCGACAGAGAGCACCAACTCAGCCCCGACAGAGAGCACCAGCTCAGCCCCGACAGAGAGCACCAGCTCAGCACCAACAGAGAGCACCAGCACCGCATCAGCAGAGAGCACCAGCTCAGCACCAACAGAGAGCACCAGCTCAGCCCCGACAGAGAGCACCAGCTCAGCCCCGACAGAGAGCACCAGCTCAGCCCCGACAGAGAGCACCAGCTCAGCACCAGCAGAGAGCACCAGCTCAGCCCCGACTGAGGGCACCAACTCAGCCCCGACTGAGAGCACCAACTCAGCCCCGACTGAGAGCACCAACTCAGTCCCGACAGAGAGCACCAGCTCAGCACGAACAGAGAGCACCAGTTCAGCACCAACAGAGAGCACCAGCTCAGCACCAACAGACAGCACCAGCTCAGCCCCGACAGAGAGCACCAGCTCAGCATCAACAGAGAGCACCAGCTCAGCACCAACAGAGAGCACCAGCTCAGCACAAACAGAGAGCACCAGCACCGCACCAACAGAGAGCACCAGCTCAGCCCTGACAGAGAGCACCAGCTCAGCACCAACAGAGAGCACTAGCTCAGCACCAACAGAGAGCACCAGCTCCGCATCAACAGAGAGCACCAGCTCAGCGCCAACAGAGAGCACCAGCTCAGCCCAGCAGAGAGCACCAGCTCAGCACCAACAGAGAGCACCAGCTCAGCACCAACAGAGAGCACCAGCACAGCCCCAACAGACAGCACCAGCACAGCACCATCAGACAGCACCAGTTCAGCACCAACAGAGAGCTCCAGCTCAGCCCCAACAGACAGCACCAGCTCAGCACCAACAGAAAGCACGAGCTCAGCACCAACAGAGATCACCAGCTCAGACCCAACAGAGAGCACCAGCACCGCATCAGCAGAGAGCACCAGCCCCACAACAACATTCAGCACCAGCTCAGCCCCAACAGAGACCACCAGCTCAGCACCAACAGACAGCACCAGCTCAGCCCCAACAGACAGTACCAGCTCAGCCCCGACGGGAGCACCAGCTCAGCACCAACAGAGAGTACCAGCTCAGCACCAACAGAGAGCACCAGCTCAGCCCCAGCAGAGAGCACCAGCTCAACCCCGACAGAGAGCACCAGCTCAGAGCCAACAGAGAGCACCAGCTCCGCAACAACATTCAGCACCAGCTCCGCATCAACAGAGAGCACCAGCTCAGCACCAACAGAGAGCACCAGCTCAGCACCAACAGACAGCAACAACTCAGCACCAACAGAGAGCACCAGCTCAGCCCCAACAGAGAGCACCAGTTCAGCACCAACAGAGAGCACCAGCTCAGCACCAACAGACAGCACCAGCTCAGCCCCGACAGAGAGCACCAGCTCAGCATCAACAGAGAGCACCAGCTCAGCACCAACAGAGAGCACGAGCTCAGCACCAACAGAGAGCACCAGCACCGCACCAACAGAGAGCACCAGCTCAGCCCTGACAGAGAGCACCAGCTCAGCACCAACAGAGAGCACTAGCTCAGCACCAACAGAGAGCACCAGCTCCGCATCAACAGAGAGCACCAGCTCAGCGCCAACAGAGAGCACCAGCTCAGCCCCAGCAGAGAGCACCAGCTCAGCACCAACAGAGAGCACCAGCTCAGCACCAACAGAGAGCACCAGCACAGCCCCAACAGACAGCACCAGCACAGCACCATCAGACAGCACCAGTTCAGCACCAACAGAGAGCTCCAGCTCAGCCCCAACAGACAGCACCAGCTCAGCACCAACAGAAAGCACGAGCTCAGCACCAACAGAGATCACTAGCTCAGACCCAACAGAGAGCACCAGCTCAGCCCCAACAGAGACCACCAGCTCAGCACCAACAGACAGCACCAGCTCAGCCCCAACAGACAGTACCAGCTCAGCCCCGACGGGGAGCACCAGCTCAGCACCAACAGAGAGTACCAGCTCAGCACCAACAGAGAGCACCAGCTCAACCCCGACAGAGAGCACCAGCTCAGCACCAACAGAGAGCACCAGCTCCGCAACAACATTCAGCACCAGCTCCGCATCAACAGAGAGCACCAGCTCAGCACCAACAGAGAGCACCAGCTCAGCACCAACAGAGAGCACCAGCTCAGCACCAACAGAGAGCACCAGCTCAGCACCAACAGACAGCAACAACTCAGCACCAACAGAGAGCACCAGCTCAGCCCCAACAGAGAGCACCAGCTCAGCACCAATAGAGAGCACCAGCTCAGCCACAACAGAGAGCACCAACTCAGCACCAACAGAGAGCACCAGCTCAGCCCCAACAGAGAGCACCAGCTCAGCACCAATAGAGAGCACCAGCTCAGCCCCAACAGAGAGCACCAGCTCAGCACCAACAGAGAGCACCAGCTCAGCACCAACAGAGAGCACCAGCTCAGCCCCAACAGACAGCACCAGCACAGCACCATCAGACAGCACCAGTTCAGCACCAGCAGAGAGCTCCAGCTCAGCCCCAACAGACAGCACCAGCTCAGCCCCAACAGACAGCACCAGCTCAGCCCCAACAGAGACCACCAGCTCAGCACCAACAGAAAGCACCAGCTCAGCACCAACAGAGATCACCAGCTCAGACCCAACAGAGAGCACCAGCACCGCATCAGCAGAGAGCACCAGCTCCGCAACAACATTCAGCACCAGCTCAGCCCCAACAGAGAGCACCAGCTCAGCACCAATAGAGAACACCAGCTCAGCACCAACAGAGAGCACCAGCTCCGCATCAACAGAGAGCACCAGCTCAGCACCAATAGAGAGCACCAGCTCAGTACCAACAGAGAGCACCAGCTCAGCACCAACAGAGAGCACCAGCTCAGCACCAAAGGAAACAACAATTCCAGCAGAAGCCATCAGCTCTGCAATGAGCGCGGTCACAAGTGCCGGCACAATGGCCACAGCAGCAGGAAGCCACACAGCTGATGCATCCACCTCCCAGGTAGGAGAGAGCACCAGCACAGCACCAGCAGAGAGCACCAGTACAGCACCAACAGAGAGCACCAGCTCAGCACCAACAGACAGCACCAGCTCAGCACCAACAGAGAGCACCAGCTCAGCACCAACAGAGAGCACCAGCTCAGAGCCAACAGAGAGCACCAGCTCAGCATCAACAGAAACAACAATTCCAGCAGAAGCCATCAGCTCTGCAATGAGCTCATCATCACAATCCAGTGTATCTGTCTCGTTGCCAGAAAGCTCCACATCTCCAGCGGTCACAAGTGCCGGCACAATGGCCACAGCAGCAGGAAGCCACACAGCTGATGCATCCACCTCCCAGATAGTAGAGAGCACCAGCACAGCACCAGCAGAGAGCACCAGTACAGCACCAACAGAGAGCTCCAGCACAGCCCCAACAGAGAGCTCCAGCACAGCCCCAACAGAGAGCACCAGCTCAGCACCAACAGAGAGCACCAGCTCAGTACCAGCAAAAAGCGGTAAGTTTTAAAATTACTTCTCCGTCGTAGAGAACCATTTTTGTAAGTAATGCTGAACCACCGTTTTCAGACGTTTGTGGCATAGCCATTGAAACAAAAGTCTCCATGTAATTCCATTTTATTTCATTTCATTTTTCTCGTGACGTTTGCTATAAAATTCAGCAAAACTTTTGCCGAAGTCGCAAGGGATGTGTGTGCCCCGGATTCCAGTCTGTAAGGGTATTTTGCCTTAAAATCGAAGGTCAGGATTGTGGAAAACTCTTTAATTCACTCTTAATTCTTAATCGCTCTGGGACCAGGTGGAATTTCGGGTCAGTTAGTTGAAGTGTAGAGAAGTTTAAAGTAGTTACATCAGGTGCTCAGCGGCTGTGGTTTGTGTCGATGAGGTAGATCCAGAGATCGTGCTCTCTGTTGGAAACTGCGAGTACTAAAATGACAACTACCTGTTCTCCAGGATCCACGACTAAGTCAGGAACCTCCAACACTGCAGCCAGAACAACAGCAACACTGAGTGCCAGACCATCAGCGGCATCACAGGGCCCCACAAGTCAGACAGCCGCACACCCATCAACAGGAACAACCAACAATGCCCCATCCACCACCGGTAAGTCAACGAACCAATACTATCACATGACGCTATTCGAAAAGGCAAGAGAGTTACT